TGTACATGTCGTGACACTCAATAGTTCGTGGAATTACTAGAAGATTTAATATTTTTTTTTCTTCAGAAATATGAAACGATGGCCGTTAATTGTAATATTTTTAATAGATGACCCACAATAGTAGTCTCACGATAAATTCTTGTTCCATGAAAAAAAAGTAAACAATTATGGATTGATGCTAAGAAATATGATGTACAAACACAATACATACTGCCGTCTAAAAGTATAATATTATTAACATCATTTAAATGGCTAAATTCTTCACAATATGCATCTTTGAAGACAAAATATTATATCTTTAATATCAAACACAATTTAAGCGATACATATTATGAAAAGTGAAAAGGAGGAGTTATGACCAATATGATTCCCTTAACGTGTATACAAATGTTAAAGTTAATTTAAATAATATTGATTAGTAATTATTTTAATTTGTTTATTCATATTGTTATTATTATTTATATTGTATTTAAAATCTGTCAACATGGCTATAATAATATGTGGTTGCAAGTTTGACGATTTCGATAATTTAAGATCACAATATCACATGTATAACATTACACATTTGATATTTAAGTATGCAATAATGGCATATTTTGCTTCCAAAATAATAGTAGGTGCATAATAAGTAATAATATATTATATAGCATAAAAAAAACAGTCCTTAAATTATTGAGTCCGTATTTTAAAAACGTGTGCTACTAACTGCTGGCTCGGTGTATAAAAATGGTTGTGGAAAAAAGAACAACCACGCGGTATTAGACTTGTCAAAAATGATCGCCAACAGGACTTTAACGGGTTATAACCACCGCCATTTTCATGTCCGTTAATGGTCGATTTGATATCTGTTCGCGTGATCGTTGTCCAAGTCAAATTGGCGTCATAAGTCATAGTCACGGGCGGACACTAGTCCTGCCTTCGACCATTATATCCTTTATCTATCTCTCTCACACCCCGTCTTTGTTTATTTCTTTCTCTAATCAAATATATAGCAATTATACCGTGCCACTAATAATGACCAGTAGTGATAAAAATCGGTACTTCACCCTAGCTCTGTCGTGTTTTGATTTTTTTTTTATTCGACGTTCTCCCTCACATATCATTCTACCATTTCGGTGTGCTATTTTTTCCCCCTATAATGAGTGAAAAACGTGGACATGCGATCGGAATATAAAAGCAGCCTGTCTAGTAAATACATTTTACTTGTTATCTCTTTTGAGCCATTAAGTTTTCATAAATTAAACGAAATAATTTAAATCGCATTTTTGGTTCTGTTGGTATAAACAATTGATTCAATTTCAAGTTGTTTTTTTTTTTTGAGTTTCAACAATTTTACTGGATTCGGCTAAGCAATTTACTATTAAAACTCAGTTTCTTAAAAAATATTATTAAAAAAAGATAGATCTACTCGAAATTAAATTGTTTTGAAAATTAAAATTATTTCAAAGTATTGTAAGTGAGACAACACTCATGTGGCTAAATCTGATAATTATTAAAATATATATTATTACATTTTTCAATTTATATAGAATGAATATTGAGCATTCAATATTAAAAGTAAATAGCTATAGAAAGATACCAAACACGTTACGAATAAATTATAATATTATGATGAATCTCTAATAATTGATTATAAATTATTATATTGTAATCATTATTGAATAATATGGTTTCCATACCTACTATTTTTAAAAGATAAAAGTTTCAAATTATTTTTGGTAGTCGAACTAGGTTAAAATGCTGTAAATTCGAAAATTATCGTATATAACGTTATTGTATACAATATACTTATTATTATGCAATATCTTATAATGTATGAACAACATCTGCATATTTTCCATATCCATATACGTAATGTTTTTTTTTTAATAATCCGTTATGAAATATAGATTTAAAACAATAATAAACAATATTTGAAAAATATCAATTTCATAATGTTGACATTTGAAGAAAAAAAAATTACCACTGTAGTAAATCAGTATTTTTTCTACTATATTGCCCTAATGTTTATTTTTAATGATAATGTCCATTGTCCAGGAATTTATTTCAGTTCAAAACATTTTGCATAGAGTTGATCAATTAACCCATACTCAAGACGCCTCGCCAACCTAAAAAAATGACATATTACCTATGAATTGTTGAACTTATAGTATTATAACATCTACATAATATTTATTATACAACAGTTATTATTAAAAATACATAATAGATTTTATATTTACTCATATATATTTTGATATAGATATGTTTTTTTATTTCAAAATATGATACCAAAACGTAAATTTTATTTACCAGACGATGTTTATCTACAACCACCATTAATATTCACATCTTCAAATTTTTAAAAAACAAAATAAATACACTTGGTAGTGTGCACTGAACAATGGTCAGCGTAGTGAATTTATGTAAAATAAGCAGTCACCTAGGTTGTCAAAGTCTCGAGGATGTTTATTGGAATATTCAATTTTGAATTCTAATCTACTAGAAATAAAACTTGAGTGCACCGACAATAAATATATATTTACAACAAAAAACACAACAGGTTTATTTCGTAAGTAAACGTTGGGTGATATTGTTTAAATCTTCTTTCTAACGTCTAAATAAAATTCTCAAATAATTTATAATGGTTATAACATACAACAGATACCTATGTGTAGATATGGTGTAAATCCATGTTTGGTAATAAGAATGAAACTTGTATTTAATGTCTTGAAAACAAAGCAACTATCATATTGTTCCAGCGGTGACAGTAAAAACTGGGATAACGATAAGACTAGACAGGTTTAAGCTATGATATTATTAGCTGTCACAGTTGAAACCACAAAGTTTTACTATTATTGTGTACAATCATTTTATCAAGTGATGAAGAAATTGGCAATCATTATATCAGCCACTGACCATATTCATTATTTTCTGTATAATATACTGTACTATATTATATTTGTATGTATTCTATTTCACGTGATTTATGTATAAATACTGTTGAAATAATCTATGGAACCATAGTAAATTCATCATTGTGATCAAATTGAATAGTTAAAGAATCTTTTTAACATTCATTTTGCTAACAAATTCTTATTCATCACCTTAGGTATTTTTTAAAAACGCTAATAAGATATATGAATAAATTATGCTTACTTAAAACAGTCAAACAAAAAAGATTTATGAATCTACTGAGATAAAAAATAATTATTAACCCCGTTTGTTCTTATGTAGTAATTATTCTTGAGCATAAAATAATTCATGCGGTGTAAGTATTCTTGATTTAATAATTCCTGACAATACCTATAATAAACTAAAATGTTAGATACTGAGATTTAAAATTTGTTATCTAAAATAACAATGTGTTTAAAAGTCGCCTTTAAAAAGTTGACACTTAAAAGCATCTGAAATTGTCCAATCAATCGTGAACATTGTGATACACTTGTGTATACATTTTCAATAATCTTACTAAAAAGTTTTTTTCGTTTAATTTAAAATGTGAATGGAACGAAGATAAACTCTATAACAATGATGTATTTTTTTTAGATATAATCACTTTTATGGTGAAAAGGAGTTCACAAAAGTTTATACTCAGTAGTTCACCAGAAAAAAAAGTGAAAAACTACCAAAAACCACGATCATAGGAAACACTCTTGTTCGATACCTGCCTGAAAGGAAAACTTTTAGCATTATTTTAAAACTTTTTATTTATCCTTGAGATTGAATATTTTTACTTTGCATGGATATTTTAAAGATAGTATTATAATTGTAACAACTGTTGTTAGGGAATTGAAAAATGTTGATTGTTTCTCGAGTGATAATAGTTTCAATTATTTAATTATTTTGTATCTAATTAATTCGAGCACACGACATAACTGAAAGCACAATCGTAATAATAATATTTTGTTTTAACTCTAATTAAAAAATGTAAACTAAAAAATGCCGTTCACCCGGTGTTTATAAAAGTATGTCATAATTAAATTATTGAAAAATCAACGTTTTATAAATATTCTAGGTTAATAAAATAAAAAACATAATAACGCAGTAAAAATGGACCCAATCGAACTATATATACCCACACAACATACATATATATATATTTTAGGTACAGTAAATATTTGAAAAAAATCTTGATGATAAATAAATATTACATTTTTATTGATTTAACATTTTCAAATATTTTATCAATTTTTAATAATTTAAGTTTGAACCATTTGGAGTTTTGTGATTAATATTTCTGAACAAATATTTCATTTTTATTATCGACTCATTATCATTAAAAATTAAAAATAATACAATTAAGAGTGTATAATTTATAATCAACAATAACTATTATTCAAAAGTAATTAAAATATAAAAACATTTTTTTTTAATATCACAGCTGAAGTAGATTATGATATATAATTGTTTTATATATAATACTATTTTTAATAATTTTATTATATATGTAATTATATAAAATTTTAACTATTATATCATACATAGACAAAATATTAGGTAAAATAAATTGAAGGTATATAACACATATAAGTGAGTGAAACTATTTATTTTCATAAAAAAATGGTTGGTATCTATAAATGTATGAAAATTACTACCTATTGATAATATATTTTTGTAGTAATAAAAATATATTTATAATTATACATGATTTAATTGAAATAATAATCAAATCAAATCAAATCAAATCAAATCATAATATGATAAACAACATTTTTTAATTTTATAATAGCTCATGTGAAAAATATATATTGTATTACATATTTAAAACAAAAAAAAAAAATAATTCCCTGAATATTGAAATAAAACCAAAACTTAACATATAATATATATCTAAACAAAACAAATTAATAATATGAATAGAAAGATATTTACTTTTTTTTTAATAGTCCTGAAAAATAACATTATAATTTATGAACTAAAAATTTTTAAGACAAAATATGATTGAATTTAATTCCTGCTTGTGAAAATTTTATAACATTATAAATCAAAACAAATAAAATCAATTTTTCAACTATTTAAAAAAAGAAAGTTAAGTTGATAAATTCTTATCAGAAATTATTTTTAAATTAAATGGGTCTTCAACTTATTTGATGATATCCTCCATTTCATTTTTTCATTTTGAAAGGAATGTTTAAATTTCTTTTTCTTTTTGACAGCATCTAAAAAATATTTTCAATAAACAATTAAGTGTAACACAAATATTTGAGAAGTTTAGGTATTTCAGCACTATAAGCACTACTATTAGTGTTAAAAAATTATAGCTTTCATGGAGCATGTTAAGCATTAGCGTATTTAATAGGTATCGAAGATAATAAAATAGTAATTTAATTATGTATACTTGAGCATTCCCTCAATATTGGTGTATTAAATAATCACGAATACTACACAAAAGTGCATGGTCAATTTTTTCTTCAGCAATCCGTTTGTCATAAATTAGATTTATGTACAAATATATTTTAATGTGAAAAAAAATTGAAAATGTGTATTTTTTCCTGAATGGGTGAACTAATTTGTTTAGAATAAAATATTCCGTCGAGCATCGACAGATTTAAATATACGACATCCAGTAGTTATCATTAATAATATTTTGTTGTTTAAGCTATAAATGTAATAAAATAATTTAAGCGCATTAGTCTGCATACATAGACATATATTTGGACTGGTTTTTATGGAGAGTGATTTTGTAGTTGTGTAATACTACTTATTCAAAAAATATTATATTGATTTAACAAAATAAGTATAGGAACTTTAAATATTATGGTATTTTATATTTATTTCAGAGTTTATTGTTGACGTAAAACAACCGTAGTACACATTTTAGGCTGTTACTAAAGTCATACTTGGACGATAGACTTTCTGACAGTGTAAATTTAAGAAGATCGCAGTTTTTCACAGCGCTCGGTTTAATGGTTTATGTGATTTTCCAAAAAAAAATGTAATTTAATACCACTGTTAATTACGTTTTAATAATAAATAAATTAAATATAAAAATATATTTTTTCGTGAATTCGAGAAGGTTACAATTAAAGATTAGAAGCCAAATATTCATATCAATTAAGATGCTTTACCTTTGTTTTTGTCATCGATACAACTTATAAAAATAAATTCATAAAAGTTTTTAAATCATAAACATAAAGATTTCTAAAGCTATAATAATATCAACTTTTATTCATAAGCGTTGTGTTTAAAAAATGAATATGCTATCGTATAATATATTATGTATTTTCAACATGTTATCCTTTTTTGTTGATCATTTGGCTTTTTAACTATTCAAAATATAGCTAAAACAGTTATTTTCAACTTAAAAAAGGTCCTCAACATACAATTTCTGAACGTGTGGCTTTCAAACAGTTTTTTTTTTTGGTAGTTATTTTTCTTTGTTATTTTTTGGTTATCAATCAATAATGAAAACTCCCATTTTTGTATTGCGTTTATTATTATTATTTATTTTTTAATATGCATAACGGTCATAATATTGTTGTCAAATATTCACTTTACATACCTGCATTTAAACTATCGAAAAATCATCTGCTTTTTGGTGGTTTTAATTTGAAAAAAGAAACTTAATATAATATGTACAAAACAGTACAATATTATTATTCCGAGAGAATTTTTACCGAGAAAATTATGATATATTCCTACTGCGCCCTCCCGTTACCTGTTTGTCATACACACTCACATGTCAAACCCAACACACTTTCATATTCGTCATTTTCAGTTTTTAAATATTACAACGTTATAGAGTATATTTTTTCAGAACGCTTATCCACTCTACTGTTTAACCTATATCATCTACCTTTTCAAGAGTTCAATACACGAATATACTTTCGTTCATTTATTTATTTTGAAAGTTAGTCACTATATAACATTGTTGATATATGCAATACTTGAGATTTGAGGGTAGGTTTTCTTTTTTTTCTTAATTGATCGATTGATTCCTTCGGCGTTTGCTCAAATATGACACACCAATCCATAAGATGTCTTCAGGTTAGCTCTATAGGAACAAAAATCATGATTTAATGTTTGCATTCCTCAACTTTATTTTTCCAATTCAACCGCAGTTTGCACTTCATAGTTTTCATTAATTTGTTTCTGTAGTCATTAAATAACTGTTTTGAATGTTTTAATATAACAAAACAAATATTATCTGTTATTTAATTTTTTTAAATAAAAATTGTATTTGTTTTAAGACATAACATTTGTTCAGTTATTTCTAAAATTGAAAATCATTAAATCATATTGATCATATTAAACAGTTTAGAATTAATATTGTTCGAGTACCTTGTTGTTATACATAGATTCAGTTCAAATAATCATTAATAATAAAAAAAAAATGGTTAAACGTGTTATAGTATTATCATCGTTTATTAATGCAAGATTCTAACTAAAACCTAAAACACGTTTTTCTTTTGTATTTTGAATTTTTTTATGTTTAAATGATGCAACTAAAATAAACGAAATTTTACATTCTATTTAATACATTTTAAGTATTAATATTATGCTATTTAAAATGAAAAATGTTAATTTATGTCAATTTACTGGGCTTCGGGGTTCATTATATACGTGAATATTTAGAAAAAAACATGGATCTAAACTGTAAATGCGTACAACAGCAGCTAACTTCCCAATTAAATTTCTGTTTTCTTTCAAAAAAATACAAAATAATTATATGCCGACGATATGTGATTACCGAGTGCATGTTATTAGGAAGCACACTTTTTCACTAATTAGGTAGGTAGGTACACGTGCGCTCGTAGTTTATTGTTTATCGTGGATCTAACCTAATAATAGTGCGTTAGTACTAAGTACACTCTATAATGTGATAACTTTAACGCGCTGTTAGTTTAATGGTTAATCACATTATGCATTGTATAATAATATGATAATACACCTATATATTATAATATTATATTTATTATATTTATTAGTATTATTAATATAATTTGAATCGATCAAGAGAAGATTTTTTAATACAAATAATATATCACTGTCGTGGTGACCGTCGTCCTAAAACATCGTTGGTTAATAGTTCTTTCTTTCTTTCTTTTTATTAATACATTTAAGTACTTTACTGATTTTTTTTTATTTTATAACGAGATTAAAAATAAAAATAAAAATTGTTCGAATTTGCTAAGTGACGAATCGTTATGGAGGAGCTGCATCGTTCTATCAATCCTGGTGAAACGTACAATTACATAGTTAGTCGTTAATGAGTAAATTCATACTTGTGCTGGCGACCCGCACTTACTGTTTTATTGCGATAGACTTAACGATTATGTTATCAACAATTTACTATGACGCCAACTCATGGAAATTCTAAATTTTACATATCTCGAATAATTATAACGAAATCCCGTGTACAGCGCTTGCAAAAATCGTGCGCTTCGTCTATTGTTTGAATATAACTCCAATATCAATTTAAACGGCTTATGAAATAAGTATTATTATTATAATCATAAAATATGACCAAAAACTTCATCTCACAAAATTGATTCGTGTATGTCTCGGAACCGTTTGACCAAGTATACACAACCAGGACGTTGTGAACATTCTACTTCAAACACAATCACTGAGTTTCATACTCGTTGCTACCAATTTAACACTTTATGTTCTAGTTTAAAGGAATCAACAAAAAAGTGATGAGACTTATCATCGATAAAATCTTTCATATTTTATGGAACAAAAAAAGTGTTGATCAGCGGTATTTCTTAACATGGCTCAGTCATTTTGTTCGTGGAGCTCGACTGAAAGTAGAGCTTTTGCAAAAACAAATATCTAACTCCTTACCCTTCGTACCTTTGTAGAAGTTAAGGTGCGAAGATAAATACTCCTGTATCCTCTTCATAAAGGCAAGCGTTACACAATCCAAAATAGTTACTCCTTGTACCTCATAATATAAAATGTATACTGCTGACCTGCCTTACTTTAATACCATTAGCTTAGCCACTACTTCTAACGACATAGCTATAACTTCTCCTCGTACTCGTATAAACCTAACAACTACAAAAATCTTGGAAATCGCCTTTACAAATCTACAAGGATAGTACCTAGAGGTTTATTATAGAGAATAAAAATCAAAGGAAATAAATCGACTTTCATTACTTTTATCTTAGGGAAAATAATAGCTCCCTATAATAAAAAAATCTTATACAGAACTCGGTCTATATTGACAAGGTATTACTCTAAGAAACTCCCATCAAATCTAAAATAATATTATTAAACAACAAATCTATCAATCTAAGAAACATCTTCGTTCTAAATTCTCTTTAGAAATCAAAATTATAATTGTTATCAATTGGTTTTTCCTTCAATGACCTATGAAATTAAACTTTGGAAGTCTAACAAAATTGAAATCAATGATTCCAATCCATAAACTCTACTTTTAACCTTAGTAACAACACTCTACAGCACGTGTTCAACATAGGTTATGTATGCTACATACATTATATCATATGCCTGTCACTATGCCTGTCACTATGCACAATATTTTACAAAAATGTCCACAACCATACAAACCCTAATACATGTCCAATCTCGCCTCTAACCTGATACCAGACGATCCTTTTCGGCATTTCAAACTGAATTGACCACGCGATCTTCTCCCCACAAAATTAAAAAAATAAAATAATAATTTAAAACCCTAGTTCGTTTCTTTGAAGACAATTGTGAAGTGGTGGAAGAGATCTGAACAAAATCCCTCCCACCACGCCCCCACGATTTGTTATTATTTTTTTCAACACATTTCCTTCTTTTACATAAAAATACAGGGTATAGATTTTTTTCTATTTTGAATAATAATAAAAAAAAAAATAGAATTATGTATGGAATTTCATTCAAGTCAATTTTTAATAAGAAAATCGTGTTGAAAATCAATTTATATCACAGCTGAAAATCGGGACGAGGCACGAACGCCTCGAGGAAATATAATAAATATAATACTACATTATGGTTATTGTATCGACGAGATCCAATTTCGAGTACTCTTTGACCGCTATACTCTGCACATTGTTTACACAGTACATCATAAATTATAATAATAATAATATGAAACGCATTTGATGAGTAATTTCATCCCAAAGCACTATTATTTCGCAGTGTCGTTGGCGGTGTTATCAGATGGATTTGTTGTCATAGTGTTAAACATGGCGTTCACACTTTTTGTTCACTCCGTAATCGTCTCCAGTACTGTGCAGTGTAAATCGTTATTCTGGTTTAACGATACAACAATAATAGTAATAAATATCAGCGTACGATGATAAATAATATTATTTTACGGAAGTGTATTGTGCGTGCAGTGTATCCGCATAACGTATATGCTGCGCGCGCACATGCGATACTCAGAATTCGTGTCCGACACATATTATGTTCAGTGAGGTCCTTGAATGTTTTACTAATGCAGTGTCGACGCGGCGAAGTGCACACCGCACATTGCGTATGCCGCACAGTGTATAGTTTGGATTCCATAATTCGGCCACTTCAAATTAGTAAATATTCACCGAACCCGGTTCCAAACCATAATGTAATGTATACATATATATATTATGGGACTGCGTGTGTGTGTGTGTTTTACATAATAATATGTATATTGTACAGATGGCCGGCCAAAATCGCGTATTTACATACAGCGACGCGTACTATAATAATCGTAAATCAAATCATCGGAAATTGCATTATTGTTCGACCATACCATACTAGGTATACACGCACCCGTTTATATTAATTAATGCCGACGCGGTGTGTGTGTGTGTGTGTGTGTGTGTGTGTGTGTGTGTGTGTGTGCGTGTGAATAAAATGCCTTAAGCGGGCGCCACACCCGCATGTGTTGTCTCCGTCTTNGTGTGTGTGTGTGTGTGTGTGTGTGTGTGTGTGTGTGTGTGCGTGCGTGTGGTCTCCGCGCCGTGTGTGTGTCGATGCAGTTTCAAACTAGGGTAATTATTAATCGTGGAATATATGATTATATTATACCATAACGACAATCGATAGTATCGACGGAAAAACGTTGTCCACCGGCATTTCGTTTAAACGTTTCATACGCTCGTGGACTGTAGTTTGACCACGTCTTCGATGTCGGTATGAGGACTTTTTTTTTCGTTGTTATCGTAACGTTTTACTCTGTTTTACTCTGTTTTTCATTTTTTTTTTTTTTTTTTGAAGAAACTTAAACGACGACTAAAGTCCAAACGTGGGTTTTTTGAGTAGTTGTACAATACATGTTGGTCTTGCACGGCGTCGCCCGTGACAAGTTAAATGCCCATCAATGTTAACCTCGTCTTAAAATCCGTAATCTGCACAGATTTTTTAACACAATTTACTATTTAGACGCCATGTAAAAAATAATATCTAAAACGATACTCAATCGTCGTAACTATTTTACTTATACAGTAATCAATGGCGACCCTATGTAAACAAAATACCATTCGTTTTTCGTGGTGGACTGACAACCCACGGTGTGAGCCTCTATTTAAAATGAGAGTTGCTCCGTTTTACTGCAAACCTCTAATATTGTCGTGATACGGTGGTACCATAAATATTTCGAGTGTCTAGCAATGATGGTTTTGAGTGTGTGCTGGTCGTGAATCTTCTTTTGTAAAATATTACATAGACCAAAGTATAAATATCAGACGTCGATCAATATTACAAAAGCTTATATCTTATTATAAGTGGTTTAAAAATCCATGCACACTGAGTTTTCTCATCACAGTTCTGCGTATTACAGCAGCTCGAAATACAAGTTAATAAAAATTTGCTCGATATTATATAATAAAATTTAAAAAAAAACGCGTTGACAAATAAATGAAGCGACTTCAGGTGTCGCATAAGTTTTCGAACGAAAAGAGAAAAACTAAAATAAATTGAGCGTTTTGCCTTCGGTAGCACGCATTATATTACGTATCATACTCTTACCTACATCATTGCCTGATGACCGGTGGTACAACATGAAAGAGCGTCCGGAAAATAAATCGATATATTTTGTTTCCTTTTATTAAAAAAAAAATCACCCGGGTAATCGAAAATCGTGTTCGGTACCCGTCCACACGTTCACAATATTATTATGAATAAAAATATATAAATCAATAAACGTCGTTACACCGTTCGCGGACCGTCCCGCAGTATATCATGGCGACCAAGGATGTCGGTATATATAGTATATAGGTATATATACGTATATATATATATATATATATATATATATATACGTATGTATTATATACACTGTGTACGGTATATACGGTATTATACACTTAATGTATGTATAATACGACGTCACGGTGTCGTTTCGTACCGCGATCACGTTTACTGGGCAGGATTTGGAACGGCGAAACCCCGAGCGCCGCCGCCGGTGGTCGTGTTTCGAACGCATTTATAATATTAAAACCGTCAGAAAATCTCGGAAATTACGACCCGATGACTGACACCGCCGCCGCGAGATGAGCGGTTCGCTGGCGACACCGAGGCGGCATAATCCGTTTAGTCCGACTGCGGTCGGGCCGAACGCGATTATAATACGTGTTATTATTATTATTATTATTATTATATAACAAACCGTTTCCAACGAATTTGCATTCTCTCTCCGAGAGCGGAAACGCTGTCACACATTACACCTACTGCTACTACTGCTGTTAATGTCATATATTACGACGGTGTGCGAGCGTGTGACGCGTGTGCGTTACGTTGACGGTCGTCCGACTACGGGTTACCGCGGTCGGATCTCTAAAATACAACACGATATTGTTGTGTTACGACATTCGATAGCAAGTTGTGTCTTATGTGCGCATGTTGCACAACATGTGTGCATTATATTTTGTACGTCATGTATTTATAGCTGACCGACGTGGCCCGAGCCAAGGATTATATTTTTTTTTTCAAAAATATGTTTTGTACAAAATTTAAAATATGTCGAGATTCTACTAAATAATTAGTTGAAATGATTAGTTTAGTCTCCAGTCACAGACAAACAGTGTGAGAATAAACCATAAAGTCAGTGATTTTGTCTTGGACCAAAAAAAAAGAGTAAAAACGCTATAGATTTATTTAAAAATAAGACCAACAAACATTATTTAGCTTAGATAAAAAATAAATGAATTTAGTATGTTTCTATGTTTAAGATCATTATAAGATGCTCATCTTTCTCCGAACTACTATAATTTAGAAATTATTGGATAGTTTGTTAGATATTTTATTTTAAATGTTTGACAAAGTGAAATACATATTTTTCTATTTTCTATTGCATACTATAAACACTATCCCTAATTATACCGATGCAATAAGAACCCACGCAGATACTATTAGTCGTCAGTTTAAAATTATATTGTAATATAATATATATTATAATGCTACAATATGACCGCACGAACACGAAAATGTTGGATGACAACGTATTGGGCGGTACCCGTTTCCACCGAAAGTGTACTTTTTCCCTTTCCACCATTACCCGTTTCCACCCAAAGTATACCTTTCCCTTTTCCACCAAGACGAGATATAAACCACGCTTATGAGTTATGTTAAAAGCTACTAAAAAGTAATAAATTAATACACAACATACTATAAAATATGTACCTTATATGTTACCTTATAATTATAATAACGTTTATGATAGTCAAAATTGTCAAATGTATAAATTTAATAAAAAAAAAAAAAAAATGATTCAATAGTATTGTATAATAGTAAAATTTTTCTTTATAATAATTAAATATGAATAATGTATGATATTATAGATTTCACAAAATCGTACTTGTAATTTAAAACAATATTTTGTTTTAATTAATAAATTTAGTTTATTATATTGTATTAAACACAATATAGGTTTAAAAAAATTGGTTGACACAGTTATATTATTACTTGCTTTGTCTCGCCCTAACTTTTATACCATATTATTGTATATATATTTTTTTTTTTATTAAATTTGTACATTTTTATTGTGTTGTTTATTAGTTTATTACATTTTAACAGCTTTTAATACAACTTATAAGCGTAGTACATAGAACTTGTCTTGGAAACGTGGTCAATATCCCATCTGGCGGAAACGAGTATTGGTGGAAAAGGGAAAGTTATACTTTTAGTGGAAACGTGTTACGCCCAACGCATTTCATATGTTTCTATAATTTTTTCACCGCTATAGGTATGAGGTTATTTAGAGATCTAGTTAGCCATCTAAGATGTGCACCGTTGCACGTCGACAAACCCGACGGACGTGTTATTGTTCTAAGTACAAGAATAGTAACAATTCTTCTGGAGTATGTTTTTCAAAATAAAATTTGATTTTGGTAAAAGTTGACAGAACAAGGTATACGGTAGCAACCTGCTGCACTCGCGGAATGTTTGGCAAACGGATTAGTTCCAAGCCGTCTGACGTCCGTACGTCGCAGTATTGCGTGCTCGCTCGTGATCCGACGTTATATAATAATAATAATAATAATAATAATAATAATAATAACAATAAAAACGATAAGCGAGGTTTTTCTTTTTTTCCTTCTTTTTAATCCGAATGAAAGCATTGTACGATTTCCTCGTGTTTTATTAAATAATTCTATTGCTCTGCTAGGTCCTGCTGTATATTGAAGCTAGTATATATCCATTCCCGATGGTATGAAATTTAATGATTTTGGCCATTAGAGAATTCCTTTTTCTTTTAGTGGTATTCAATTACAAAACAATAAAAATATCGACGCTGGTATTTTTTTTTTCTTTTGCCCGAAAATAATGAGAAAACATAAAAAAATAAATATATAAATCTACCTCTCCCTCTAATATCCTATAAATATAATACTGCACCACCGCTGCAACGGGATCGTTTTTCTTCATTAAAAAAAATATTCATGAAGCTGTAAGCCACTGGAACGCATTATACGTCTTTGAATATACATAAAATGGGAAAATTAATTTCCGTGGTTGTCTTAAACAAAATATTTTTATTTATATTATACACCATTTTATGCTAGTTATACCTACAATTAAAATTATCCATTAAAAAGTAAAACATACATTTGGGTCATAAAACAAAATATAATATATTATCCCACACATTGGTCATCATTTATGTATTATATGGACAAATATGTAAAGTGGTATTTACTATCAAACCTAGATAAAATGTTTATTACATTAAGCTTAAATAGTCAATAAATTTAATCAATAAAGTATAAGCTGTATTAAATTGTACGCTTCATTAATTACTAGAAATGAAACAAGGACTCACAAATCATAATACATAAAAAAAAATATTTGTTTTCTTAGTCAGATTTATGCTTCAATACAATTCATTGGTCACCACTCACCATACTTAAAGATACACATCAATATCGGTTCTTTGCTATTTGGCTTAGTAATGCTTCACATTAAATCGAGTGCCTCGTCATCTATGTAGGCACTAACCACTTTTGTATATCTTCATTATTCCAATATTTTATCAAACAGAAGTAAATTTAAATAAGGTTACTAGTCTGCCCAGACCTATAAGCAATTTTTAATCCCAGTATTCCAGAATTTTATTTAGAACTACATTTACAAACTTTTTTTATAATTACTTGCACAAATAAATGTACGCTTAATCTGCACTTGTTTCATAGTCTATAAAGTATCAGACAATTTATTCAATAAGTACACAATACCTAAAAACTATACAGTAAACTGAGTTTTCCAATTTTTTTTATGAAAATATGACTATGGATTATTTACCATAGTTTTTTTTGCACTCAATTTTGACTGGTTTCTCATAATAATTTATAACAATATTATTACTAATGGAAATACATACATACATACATATATACATACATATAAAATATAAGTACATAAATTGAATGTTAATCTGGCACCTACTAAAACAACCAATCACATTTTGACCATAAATAACTGAATATTGTATTTTAAAACTATATTTATTTAATTGCAAAGTTATTTGTTTTCTTTGTTTTCACTTTTGGGAAATTGAGAATAAAACATTTTTTTTGGCTTTTCTTGATATTGCAATAGTAATTTTTTCGAACAATATCTATCTTCTCAAATCTCACAATAATGATCATTGAGATACGCCCTTTTACAGCTAGAAAAAGCTTATAAAATCGTATATGATTGGCCATAGAACTAATTTCACCAAAAATTATATTAACTCTTTTTCACCCAAGCCCCAGAATTAAAAAAAAATAATAATAAATATATTATGTCCAACTTAGTGCACAATTTAAAGCACTTAAATCACAGACTTTCTTTTAAGTGTCAGCAATTACTCGTAACTGCTTGCAGCTTTGTGAACTTTAACATTATCAATAATAAAGTGATAAATGTATAGTAATTTTTGATGTACAATTTATAGAATATGTAAATATTATGTTATTATTTGCTGCAATTTATTTTCAATACATTTAACAATATTAAGTATTCACATTCGTATTGATGCGTTATAAATTTTATTTTTTATTTTTATATTTACATAATATTGTATTTTTTTCCGAAACACTAGGCTATTATATTATTATCATAATATGGTATCTTAAATAATTACATAAAATTATACTATTTATTTTAAGTTGTAATATTGACTGAAGTAAAATTGCATACACAAGGCGCCGTTATTATTGTTGGAGAATCGTCACTAAATAAATCCTTGTTCTTAAATTAAGACTATTGATGACCTCGATGATAGCTATTTATAAACTAAATGAATCTAGCATGTTCGTCATGCAGAATTGATTTCTAGTTTTATTAGATTAACTTATGGTAATAAATACTATGCACTTGATAAAAAGTTGTGAGCCAGTACACAAGGGGAATTTTCTTTTATCTGCAAATTATAAATATCTAAATGCATTGCGTGCAAAATAAGTTATATTAGTTATATTGCATACAAAATAGATATTCCATATTATAATATATAATAACTAAATAAGTAATAATTTTATATTGTAACCAATGGCGATCATTTATGTAAAGCAAATTGTTCGTAAGCCGAAGTGAAATGTATGTGTTAGTCAACCTTAGCAGCATGTACAAATTGAAAAAAGAAGATTAAAACGGCCTCCGAGTCTTAATATGATTTCATGATGTAACTTTTATTGAAATCTGTCCAGTAGCTTCGGAGATGAACCGTTACGAGCAACTTTCATTCGTTACAGTAACGCGTTTTCATTCGTATGCACAAGATTTTCTG